ACAAAGTAAATTCCTGGTCAAACCTCTCAACCTTCCAAACTTTCAACTTTCCAAATTTCGCCAAAATGCATCAAATCAACCTACGGACCTCCAAATCCAAATCTGAACATACGTCTAAGTCCAAAATCACCATACGAAGCTATTGAAATGATCAAAATACCATTTTGGAGTCGTCTACACAAAAATTAAACTCCGATAAAATCTAATCACTTAAGCTTCTTAAACAAGAATCATTCTTCCAAATCAATCCCGAATCACCCGAAAATTCGAATCCGACCATACATGCAAGTCCTAATACACAATAGGAAGCTACTCGAGACCCTAAGCCACCAAATATGACGTGAATTCTCCAAATGGCCGGTTGGGTCATTACAGTAGTATCATAAATAACATGGCATGATATCACCCTTCATGCTTTTACTCTCAACCTCTCATGATGTGATAAATAATAATAAGAAATCAAATGCATGACATCACCCTTCGTGCTTTAATCCTCACAATCTCTCAAAAAATGAAATTGTATACAAATAAGGCACGTCAACACACTTCGTGCTTTTCACTCTTCCTCACAAAGCAACAATATTAATCCAAAACAGCAAACACAAGGTGGGAAGCAATTTCACTTCAATAATAGTGTAATGGTTATTCAACTCAACTTTAAAAATCCCAACAACTTCAAAATAAACATTACATATGAATATGAACAATTAAAGAAGTAATACTCTAACTACGACATGGAAAACATAGTCATTGAAACAACATAATACAATAAAATAATTTCCACCAGCATTCTTTAACCCAATGAAAATGCACATATACTCGTCACCTTACATATACTCCGTCCTCACATATAATTCACGTAGCAAATGGATCAACAAGTTCTTATTCCTTTAAGTCAAGTTTAACCATGACACTTACCTCACTCCACAACCAAATCAATATTCAACTGCAGTTTTTTCTTTAGAATTAGCCTCCAAACTAATCAAATCTAGTCAAATATAGTTCAAACAATTCAAAATAGGCTTTAGAAACTACCCACGAGTGAAAAAGATTCAATCTTTAATGTGTTTGAAAAAAGTTAACAAAAGTCAACCCCGGGCTCGCTTGGTCAAAAATCGAGATTCGAACCAAAACTCAATTACCCATTCACCCCAAGCTCAGTTATGTGATTTATTTTAAAATCCGACCTCCATTTGAGGTCTAAATCTCAATTTTACAAAACTCCCAATTTCTACCCAAATCCCTAATTTCTACCATAAAAAATCCAAGATTAAAGGTTAAAATCAATGAGTATTTATGAAAATATAACAAAACAAGTTAAAATTTACTAACCAATGAAGTAGGGATAGAAAACCTCTTCAAAATCGCTTCTAGACTGAGCTCCAACTTCAAAATGGTGAAAAATGGTTTAAATCTCGACTCGCGAAACACCTAACCCATTCGTGAAGAGCAACCCAAATGGCTTTCGCGTTCGCGAGGTACTCTATGAGTTCGTGAAGGCTTAAGTTCCCGCCTTCCTTTGCGTTCACGAGCAGAGGTCCTCGTTCGCGGAGAGTAACCATCTGCCCTCTCCCAGGTCCCCCAACGAATTGCGTTCGCTAGAGGCCTGTCGCGTTTGCGAAGGGTGAGCCCCCCTCCGCTTCGCGTTCATGACCCAGCCCCCGCATTCGCGAAGAACAATCTGCCCCAGCCCCAAACTTCCCCTTTGCTATCGCAAGAAAAGCTTCGCGATCACGAAGTACAATGCATCAGACAATAGAAACAACTGAAAACCAACAATCTCTTAAGTCCAAAATGGTCCGAAGCCTATCCAAAGCTCACCCGAGCCCCTTGGACTCCAAACCAAACATGGAAACAAGTGTAATAAAATCATACGAACTCGCTCACATGATGAAAATACCAAAATAACATCTAGAACTACGAATCAGACGTTAAAACACATAAAATTTCATAGAAAACTCAAGAACCTCTAAAATCACAACTAAGTGTCCGAATCCTTTCAAACCAACTCCGATTTGCATCAAAATTTGCAGAAAAGTTTCAAATAGCAAAATGGACCTATTCCAAGTGTCGAAACTAAAATATGAATCTGATAGCCACAAAGTCAATCTACAGTCAAACCTAGAAAATTTTCAAACTTTCAAATTGCTAACTTTCGGCAAAATAACCCAAATCAACCTATGGACCTTCGAATTCAATTCCGGGCATACTCCAAAGTCTAAAATCACAATACAGATCCCGGGTCGTTTGCATAAAATTTTAACCTTAGTCAACTCAAGTTGCTTTTAAAGCCAAAAATCTTATTTCTTCCAAATTTTACATAAAAATTTTTCGGAAAATGACACGGACTGTGTACTCAAATCATGAAACATCAAATAAAGTTAATAAAGGTCTCAAACTATGAAAATAAGGGGTAGTATTCAAAATCAAAATGACAAATCAGATCTTCACAATACTATTTTGGTATATAATATTTAATTCAATGGTGTATAATTTATTTTGTTGAACTGGCGAAGAAGACTTTGTACTGTATACCAAAATGATATACTATATGCCATTTTGGTATGCAGTTCGTTCTAACGGTATACTATTATAATTTACTATATAATATAACAGTATACTATCACAATTTGCTCCTTTTAGAATTTTTTGAAATTTTCATTGAGTTCTTTTTTGACTTCTCAACAAAGTTCTCATATTTTTTTTAATTTTTTTCTTAAACTAACATATTTAGTCTGAAATATTTGATTGGAGGTTGTGGCTAAAGTTTGAGTCAATTTGGTAAAAATTCTGGAGTAGATTTTTAAAATTTAGGTTGAAATTGAGTTGAACTAGCGAAGAAGACTAGTTTGTACTATATACCAGAATAATATACCAGAAGAAGTATATTATTATAATATATGGTATAATGTAACAATATAGTTAAATTTTGTATTTTTTAAAATTTTCAAAAAAAATTCAATGGGTCCTTTTCAATGTTACAACAGATTTCTCGATATCATATATTAGTCAGTATATAATAAATAGCATGTGGGTATCATAATATACTGCATTTCAACTGCTAAAAATATATTATTTTGATATACTATATTTTAAAGTAAGTTATTTTTAATAATTAATATAAAATAATATAAATAAATAAAAAGAACAAAAATAACGTAGCCAATAAAGTGTCCAGTATTAGATTATGAAAAAAGGAAATAAAAAATATTTTGAAATAATGATAAATAAGAATAAAAATAAAAAAATAAAATGGACGTGAAAAAGAGAAGAGAAAATAGTTATAACATATAAGTTGTTCTAATAATTAAATTTAAAAAAAGAAAAAATAAGAAAAAAAAATACAAAATGTATATTATAACAATTATATTAAACAAAAGGTGAACAAATATTTACTTTATTAGTTATCTTTTCTTGTTGTATAAAAAAAGAATAATAAAAAATAACAACAAAAGTCAATAAAATTAGATTATAAAGAGAAAAAGAAAATAAAAAAAGGAGTTAAATGAAATTAGAAAAGGAACAACAAATAACACATAAGCAAAAGGAAAAAAAATGAAGAATGAGCTAAAATTGAGTGTGAAAGAAAATTATGGTATTAATATGATTAGGGCAAATATAAATGAACAGAAAAGAAGAATAAGAAGAAAACGAGAAAAAAGAAAAGAAGAAAAGAAAAAAAAGAAGGGAAAAAAGAAAAGAAGGAGAGAAATAAAAAAGAAAAGGAGAAAAAAGAGAGGAAATTACCCACAAAAGCTACAAAGGGTAAGAAATATAACTAGTTTGATGAATAGAAAAATAAATGAATAGGCAATGATAAATAATTTTGTTTTTATAGTAATTGTGTCATTCACCCATTTATAGGCCTCATTTGTTTGCACTTAATGGAGGTCTGAATCTTAATCATTCAGTTCTCAGACATTAAGTGCATTTATTTTTAAAGTCTGAATCTTAATTATTCAGATCTTAATCATTAAGTGTGTGTTTTTTTTTTACTTCACAACCACTTAATGGGTCTGAATAGGTCTGTATGATTAAGATCTATAACAGAGACTTAATTTCATTAAGATGCTATCACATACTCATTATTAACTACCGCCACTGCCTACCATTATCAACTACCGCCATGCCACCACCACCGCCATACTCAACCACAACCACCACTACTACCACCACTACCATACTCAACCACCACCACCACCACTACCATCATCCTCAATCATAGTCGCCACCATTATCGACCATCACCATCTACCATCCCCACCACTTCGACTACCATCATTCTCACCCACAGTCAATACTTATCCACCTCAACCACCACAACCAACCACTCCATCATTATTAACAACCATAGCGGACACCGCCCATCATTATAACCTACCACCACCTTCCTCAATCACAAATCACCGCCCACCATGATTAACTAACACCACCCACTACCACCATCCTCAATCATAATCGCCACCACTACCAAACACTACTAGCTACTAGCATGAACCACCATCATCAACCAAAACTACCACCAACCACCGCCTCTAGTCGGTATTCACCTGTTAGCCATCACAACCAATAACTATCATATTTTAAAAAACTATATATTTTATTGATAGAATATTAGATTAGTTAGTATTTTATTTGAATTTTATGTTTATTATTTTTTAAATAAAGATAAATTTTATGCATTCAGATGTTAAAAATCAAACAGTCTTAATTTTTAGTATTCAGATCTTAATACACATCTTAATATATTCAGATGTGTATTTAGATTCGAATGTCTTAATCTTAATGCATATCTTGATATTCAAATGTGTATTCAGATTCGGACGTCTTAATCTTAAAGAAAACAAATGATGCCTTAATAACTTTACAAAAACTGACTTTTTTTCATTATTCGTCCAAAAATAGGTTAGCCCACGCTATTTTCACTTCAAAAATCTAATTAGGCCCGACTGGCAGAAAGCCCAGTAACACGACATACCGTGAACTGACCCAAATACATGACACAAACGTCGGATACAAGGGAACAGAGATTAGTAGAAGAAGAAGAATAAGAAGAAGAAAAAGAAGAACAAATCCAGCCAAAGAATCTTTTGATGAAATATAAGTTGTCGTCTCTGAACGTGTTAATTCTCTGGGGGTTTCCGGCAGGTTCCAGTTCATCATAGATAATCCAGCAAAAAATTCAAGTAAGCTTAGTTCAATATATTGTCTTTTTGTTTGCCTAGGTATGTTCCCATTTTCTGCTAGATTTGTTGAATACTCTAGTTCTATGCAATTGGATTTTTAGCAATTGTTCCTTCTAAATTCTCTTAATCTGGGAATTGATGTTGAATAACATGTCGTGAATAACATGCTAGATATATGCTGAATGTTTCTGGTTGAATTTGTTGGTTATAAGTGGTATTTAGGAGCTTATTTTTCCAGAGGCGGATCTAAGATTTCGGGAGGATGGGTGCACCATTGATTTTAAGATAAATATTTTGTTTGATGATATAAAATTTTACATTCACATCAACTTAGCGAGCAAAAGTAAATTCATTATCGCAAGAATCATCATCAATTACAATTGTACTCGACGAGTTTTCATACTTTTGAAAACGATCTATAATAGCATTATTACTTACAGTTGCAAATACCATACACTATATATTGCAAACTAAACAACCATTCATTAATGCTATTACGTAGATCAGTTTTTATGAGCTTCAATGCGACTAGAGCATTGCAACTTCCTATTTTTAATTCAAAAAAAGAGAGAGAAAAATATATCATGATAAACAAAGCTAAATGACCAAAATTACATGGCCAAAATTTGAAACCAAAAGAAAATCCCCTTTATTCAATATTACAGAGAAAAAAATCTCACAGTCGGAATAAAAAAAAAACATATTGATTAGTTTAGAAAAAGATTGGACCTTACCTTGAAGGAAAATAGCTATTGCACAAGGCCACAAACAGTCAATAGAGACAAATGTGTACTTTGATTCTTTGAATGCCGTAGATTTTAGAGCAAGAGACAAGAACAATATTCAATATAGGGATTAGGGTTTTGCATTTTCTGGCCTTTGGGATAAATTGGGATTAGGAAATATTATTATAATAGTGATTGAAGAATAGTCAATAGATGATATTTGGGAATGGGGAAAACTGAAAGGTTCCAAGTGTGGGAAAGTTGGGAGCTAATGTTGCTGCTGCGTCTTAGTAGAAAATGAAAGAAAAGGAAGATTTAAAAGAGAAAATTAAAACAAAAAACATAAGTGGGATTCGATCCCACGAGCTTTGGTTCCTAGGAATAAGCAGCCAAAACCAGTGCACCACCTCTCCTTTTTTGACCATGGGTGCCATCAGTTAATTTTAAGTATTTTTTACAGATTATATACATCATATATTGACTTTAGTCAACGGACCACGGGTTCACGTGAACCACATTTTTCACTCTGGATTCGCCCTTGTTTTTTTCCATGTAAAGTAAGCAAATATGTACATATTGAGTTCCAACTTGGGTTTTTTTTTGGGGGGGGGGGGGTTGTAGATTAGCTTCTTTATTAGAAAACTCAATTAGAGTTTACTAATCAGGCATTGACTTTATAATACAGAGAGGCAAAATTGAATATTGTCAATGTGGAATATGAAGGCTACTTGAGAACTAAGTGGATTTGGAAGGGAAAGTTGTCTCTCTCTATTGAGTGGTTAGCCACGCATGACAAATCATTGTGTATATCAAACTTGTTTCAGGTGAGTGATAGTGGCATGATATGAAAATGAAGGTTTTGGCATGTTACTGATAGTAAATTATATTTGGGAAAATGATTTGCCAAAATATGCAATTGCTTGGGGAGGAGATATTTCTTAATTTTATGATAGTGGATGACATCCAGGAACATCCTGGTATTCATTCTTGAGAGTTCAATTCTTTAATTTTAAATTTCACTGGGAAAGTTTTTCAGTTTACCTCCCTCCCCTCCTCTAAGCCTTTTACAGAACAAGTGGCGGCGGATGAGATCTTTCTTATGTTTAGATATACGGAATGGGGTCTTGAGAATTTAATTAAATTCATAGGGCGAGTTGTTTTTGTTTGTATCTATGGCCAAAAGGTGAAGTTGGGTCTCCATCCACTCCCTAGCTTTCTTATTTTTGGTAGATGGCATAGGGGTACATCCTGGTATTGGTGTTAACAACTATACCTCATCTTAAGCTAGTTGGGGTTAACAACTCTAGGCCTTCTACAGACCAAGTGGCTGCGGATGAGATCTTTCTTATGTTTAGATATACGGAATGGGGTCTTGAGAATTTAATTAAATTCATAGGGCGAGTTGTTTTTGTTTGTATCTATGGCCAAAAGGTGAAGTTGGGTCTCCATCCACTCCCTAGCTTTCTTATTTTTGGTAGATGGCATAGGGGTACATCCTGGTATTGGTGTTAACGACTATACCTCATCTTAAGCTAGTTGGGGTTAACAACTCTAGGCCTTCTACAGACCAAGTGGCTGCGGATGAGATCTTTCTTATGTTTAGCTGAACTCCCCTGTTTTCCGCCGAGTTTTGCAGTGGGGTACATCCTGGTATTGGTGTTAACAACTATACCTCATCTTAAGCTAGTTGGGGTTAACAACTCTAGGCCTTCTACAGACCAAGTGGCTGCGGATGAGATCTTTCTTATGTTTAGATATACGGAATGGGGTCTTGAGAATTTAATTAAATTCATAGGGCAAGTTGTTTTTGTTTGTATCTATGGCCAAAAGGTGAAGTTGGGTCTCCATCCACTCCCTAGCTTTCTTATTTTTGGTAGATGGCATAGGGGTACATCCTGGTATTGGTGTTAACAACTATACCTCATCTTAAGCTAGTTGGGGTTAACAACTCTAGGCCTTCTACAGACCAAGTGGCTGCGGATGAGATCTTTCTTATGTTTAGATATACGGAATGGGGTCTTGAGAATTTAATTAAATTCATAGGGCAAGTTGTTTTTGTTTGTATCTATGGCCAAAAGGTGAAGTTGGGTCTCCATCCACTCCCTAGCTTTCTTATTTTTGGTAGATGGCATAGGGGTACATCCTGGTATTGGTGTTAACAACTATACCTCATCTTAAGCTAGTGTGGGTTATGAATTGTATTATCCATTTCACTCCACTTGTACTTGTATCATTCCAATATTCAATAACTTGGGATTCTCTAATACTAGAAGTTCTCTATTTTTCTACTGACATATAAATATGTAAAAGATTAAAATGACTCCCTTTAAGCATGAGAGCATATATAGTTATACCAACATGACTGATTTCCTTATTCCTAAGTAGTTGATATTATCTTTGAATTCCTAGGGCAAGTTTTTCATTTTTTCATCTATGGTCCAAAGGTGAAGTAGGGACCATGTCTCCGTCTCCGTCCATCCCAGACCAAGGTGGGGTTCTGTGAAGGCGAGAGGAACGGAGATATTCGAGGCCTTCGTGGAGAATTGAATGATAATTGAAATCAGTGCTTTAAACTGTGAACTTGGTTGCCGTTCCCTCTTGTGTCCCTAGAATAGGATGCGTGGAAAAATGCTTATGTTTTGGGAAATGATGCCTTTGCTTTTAGGAAGACTCTAAGACAATTGGGATCACTGGAAATCGGAGAATGAAAAGGTATGGAGGATAAGAAGGGCTTTTCGTTTTGGGTTGGGTTATGAGATAGAGGAGAAGCAAAAGAGGGGTGGATTTTGGTGGTATCTTCTCTGTCTAACATGCCTAAACAAAGTGATTTGTGTTGAGTTCTGAAGTTCACTTTCCGTGGTGACAGTCCAGGGAAAGAGTGTGCGGATATCACGCTCAGCTATGTTGCAGCTGAAGTGAAAGAAATATATATTACTTGTTGGAATATTTGAGCTAAAACTTTCTTTCTAAAATGCAGGTCTTACGCTGCCACAGTACTCCAGACACCAAATATTCATTTTTGGTTGCGGATTGTTGCTGCATAGTTTNCCACCACCAACCAACACACACACGCACAAACACAAAACAAAGAAGGAGAATATATCGTACATTCACAGTGACTTTTGACTGGATAGAGAGGTCTAATTTGGCCCATTTAGTTTCAGTTTCATGAACGTTTGGGTTATGCTGTCATTGGTTGAAAGGCATCTGCTTTCAGAAGTTTTACATAATTTTCGCTGCTTAAAGATTTCCAGAATAACTGCAGGCCTTTAGTCATATAAGTTACTCTAGAATGTTTCATTTGTAACAATAATTCTAGCAACTGCTAATTGGCTGTTTCTAATGTTATTTCAGGATCCTATTAACTCTTTGGATGATAAGTCTGAAAGCAGACTTGAATGGTTACACATTTTGGTACTTTTCTCCAAATAATAGGAACTTGTTGTTGAACAGGGATGAGGGAGCTAATACTCATCGCTAACTTAAATGATCTTGCTTGACATTTCTACCACGTGTGTTTCTTAATTAGTTTGTTTTTGCTTATCAGAGAAGTTAGAAGTTGTAAAGCTGCTGCCTGCTTGGTTAGAAGGAGGGAGAGAGAGAGGGGGAGAGAGGGAGAACGCACATGTGATGTCTTTTGACGGAGCTGAAAGGCCATGGAAATGTGGAAAAGGGGGTACTGTGAATTTACAGAAAGTGAGTTCCATTGTCCGGGATATTGGGGAACCTTGCCTTCATCAATCATCAATAAAGGTAATGCCTTAATTACTCTTACCATCTATTAATTATCAGTTGTCACTTAGTTTTACAAGGATATTATATGATTCTTTTTCTGTATTGCCTATAGAGTTTTCGTATTAACTCGTTTCTTCTGCTCTTCTTCCTCTACTCTATTTGCTTCTTTACTTTGTAAATTTATGATAAATTTTTGGAATATAAAAAAGTTTGATGTGTATTGTTGGCTTGTTGCATCTCTTGAATGCTTCTTTCTCGAAAAAAATTATTTAATCTTAAGCCAAAAAATAACGGAATAAAGAATATGTTTAGTGTAGGAAATAAACCTATGCTTGATGTATATGCAGTCCTGCTTATTACCTTTCTAACACGAGAGGAGGTAACCTTTGCTATTGCTGAGAATTTTGGTTTGTGCTTCTTGACCAACTATGGACTTTAAAAAATGCAACGATTGACTACGTGAAGTCCCAGTTGGATCACTAGTTTGTACCTCTGCTACTGTACTTCTATTTCTGTTGTTAATCAGTCAAAGTACTCTTGCTGCTTAATGTGCATCATTTTCAGCAGAAGAAAGGATTAGTCAGCAGGTATTGGGACCCTTTTACCCATTCCCTGATCTGTGTTTCCTTCTGTTCCGTACTTAGTTGTCTTTGGGCGTGCTGTATCCATATCAGCGAGTATAAAATTTTAATAAATCACATAAATAATATTAAAAAATATATGAAGTTACAAAAAAAATTTAGAAGAAAAATATTCAAGTTCCTGAAAATGATGAATGTTGATGTTATTTAACTAATTAGCAAAGGAGGACATCATACCTCACAAAAGTCCTCAAATGCTTTATCAAAAGTATGTCTCCTAAGACAGTAATAAAAGGCAAAAAGCAAAATCGGTTTAAAAGTCGTATTAAGAGTTCACCATTTTGATCTGACTACCAGAAATATCTATACCATTGATGAGTCCAAAAAGAAAGTAAAAGCAAGCAATTAAATAGAGTTCCCTATGGAAAAAAATTATACTCTGATTAATCTGCAAAATATAAATAAGATTACTGAAGGGGAGCCTTGGTGTAACTGATAAAGTTACAGTCATGTGACCAGGAGGTCACTGGTTCGAAACGTGGAAACAACATTTTGCAGAAATGCAGGGTAAGGCTGCGTATAATCGACCTTTATAGTCCGGCCCTTCCCTGGATCCCACGTATAGTGAAAGCTTAGTACACTGGGCTGCCCTTTTTTATTACTATCCGTTCTTTCATTTGTTTGACATGCCATTAGTAGTTGAACTTCTGACTGAATTGACAACCCAAGTTTAGTTTCAAACTCACAGTTGCAAAAAAAGTGCCTATTCTTCCCTCTAAAAAAAGTCACCTATTCTTTAACTTCAACATCATGTCACAGCAAGTTGTCATAAAGTCTAATTTTCCATGGTCATCCATCTGCCCTTCATGACAGTTACCATAGCATGAAAAATAGGCTTTCGTATATCCTCTAATAATCACATATAACATTTCTTAAACATAAAACAGGAAAAAACGGGACTCATGTTGTCATGCCCGACGACAGACAAGGCACCCGGTTTCTTAGCTGGTTTCCGGTTAACCATTCACACGCCGGCTTTGGGGGACGGACACAACACCGGGTTAACCCAACTTGCCTTTACTAAATGAACATAACTAATGCATGACTTCGGAAAGCATCGAATATTAAAACTTATCATAACTTGTAAAGTTATAAATAACCAAAAATAGTTATTTATACATGCCATATGAGACCTCAATCGGAGTGACAAAAGCATAACGTAACCTACTGCCTATGGAGCTTCTATAAAATTATGAATAAAAGAAATACGGGCGACAAGATGTTACGACCCAAGCCCATGGCACGTATTATCCGCTTTGGGCCTGCACGAATTTGTCTTTGTTGGGCTACGCCACCTTGAGCCCTAAACGCGCGCGTACCATGTGAACTTAACTCATGCCTTACATAGCTCTTTACTTTCCTCTCCCATTTCGATGTGGGATTTGCCTAAGGTAACGTGTTCGCCCCTTCTTCAAAACTTGCCAGCCTAGAAGCCTGCAAGTCCTACTTGACTCGCCCTCATCGGTCCGCCCTCCGTCATGGGTATCACGTTCACCCCCCTCTTGGGACTCAGCGTCCTCGCTGAGGTTTGCCCCACCACCTTCTCAAAGATGTGAGATTCGCCTAAACTTAGTTGGCCACTGAGGTTTGCCCCACTATGAGGGAGATTCGGCTCTGATAGCATATTTGTCACGACCCAGGCCCATGGCACGTATTGTTCGCTTTGGGCCCTGACACGCACGAATTTGTATTTTTTTGGGCTACACTCTTGTGCAGTATGTCCAAGGGATGACACTTACCTTTCTTAAGCCTCTTGACTGATTTTTGAATTTTTGTTGTTGAACATGCTTTTCCTTACTCATAAGTTATGTAGAATCAGGCGAGTTTGAAGTTCATCGGTCTAAACCCAAATTCTGGCAACACCTTATTTTCTTTTCATGCTGAACTGATAAGCAGAAAGAAAGTTTCCACAATATACTTGCCACCATATCAAATATCCAGACCAGAATTATACCGGATAGAGGGTGTGTTTGGTATAACGGAAAATATTTTTCGTGGAAAATGTTTTTTAAGAAAATATTTTCTTGGAAAACAAGTAGTAATCTTATTCATTTTTCGGTGTTTGGTACGCAAATTAAGGAAAATGACTTCTCAAGAGTATTCATAAATAATTTAGATATAATAAACATGAAGCCATAAACTTTCAAACCAACAACCTTTCGAACTCACAAATTTCATAAACTTTCGAACCGCTAAACTTTCAAAATCGCGAAATTTTGAACCCATAAACTTTATAATTTCTAAACCCNCAAAAAAAAAAGAAAAAGTAATTTTTTGGGGTGGGTGGTGCAGAAAAACGAAAAAACAGAAATTTAAAATTGTAAAAAAAAAATTAAGGTAAAAAAAATAATTTTTTTTTTGCGGTGGGGTTGGGTGGAGGGGTAGTAGGGTGGGTGGTAATGGAAAAACTGATTTTTTTTTAAAAAAAAGCCTTTTTTGGAGAGAGAGTGGGGTGGGTTGGTGAGGTGGGGAAGGTTGAGAAGGAGTTTTGGAAAATGTTTTCCCTTCTCTTGATAAGGAAAGCATTTTCCTCCAATTGGAGAAAAATGAATTCATACGGAAAATGTTTTCCAAAACATTTAAGCCAACCAAACATGGGAAAATTGGAAAACATTTTCCTTTATACCAAACACACCCAGAGTTACTAAGTAAATCCATTAATGCGGCTTAGTGAAGAACACAATCGAACAACATGATATCAGTAGAATGTTTGATATAGATACTTTAGTAAAAGGATAGGATGCGTTTTCTAGGATGAAATTTCCACTTTCTCATATTTGAAGTTAAGCAAATAAGGTCTATCATCATATGCACAATGTTTTTATCTCATAAGCTATATTCTCATCATAATATTGAATCTAATGTTTTAGCTTTATTTATTGAGGGTGCTTGACACGAAAGAGACATACCTCTTACCCAGAAGATTCACAACATCAGCTGGGAGTCCATATTCTGCTCTGGTTGGTTATTGACTGTGCAAGATTTATCATCCAGACACTATTCAAAGGATTTAATTGGAGAAACCATCAATCTTCTAGTGCTAAGATACCTTCAATGAAGCTGTAAATCCACATANATATTCTGCTCTGGTTGGTTATCGATTGTGCAAGATTTATCATCCAGACACTATTCAAAGGATTTAGTTAGAGAAACCACCAAACTTTTAGTGCTAAGATACCTTCAGTGAAGCTGTAAATCCACATTAAGTTTTGGTCAGCAGGAGAATTTCCTGAATTGGCCGTTTTGCCACTTGCAACACTATTTGTTTGCTTGATTTCTAAGAAGAAGTAAAGGGCCTTTTGAACATATATGAATAAAGCTTATCTCTAGTGGCTCACCCATTTAATGTAATGAAGCTGCATTAGGAAGAATTCGAGAGACACTTTTGCTTTTGTGTCTGTTTACTTAAGTTGGAGAATTCATGTTTATTTCTTGCTTGCTAATGATGGTGATAAGGATATTATGAATGCTAATGTTAGCTGTCCAGAAACTATTGTGATTTCTTAAGAGAAAGTATCTAGGAATACAATATTTTTGTCGTAGGTGAGCTGTTTTTTTTTTTTCTGTTTTTTT